GTGATACTGTCCCAGGTGCCTAGTGTAGCCCAGAAGAACCCACCCCTGGGTGGGCCTCTCATGTGACCTTTGCTTGGCACCCAATGAGGAGGGAAACATGGAGGATGTGACAAACAACCACCCCCCCCCCCCTACCCTTATACGCATGTGCTCAGAGGCCGACTCCCTGTATCCAGTACACAGGAGGGCAGCCGCTCGCATTGGACTGGAAACTAGCTTCCAGCTTCTAGATCTAGAGAGATCTCACTTGTATATTATATACATAGTTACATTGGTACAAGCTAAATCAATGTAGCTATGTAAAAATATCAATTTCTGGGATGCTTCTTTAACCCTTCCTTACCCTATCCAAAACAAAAAACAAATAAAACAAAAGTTTTAGATATTATTACAGCTGAAAAAGGTAAAATTTACTAGGTAACCAGTTAACTATTTGGTTGCATCTCCCAACCTTTCACCTGCAGTGATATTTCGGCATACATCTCCGATCCCAGGGTGGATTTCCAAACTTTGAGAGCAGAGGCCGTTTGTTGGAATTGCTGTAAATATCCTGCCCTCCTTAATTGGGTGTTGAGTCTAATAATCCTGCCTCAGCTTGTTAACGGTACAATAGCAGTCAGAGTTAATGACCCATTAGTGATTAATTCCTTAACCAGCATCTAATTGCTCATGGTAAAACTTTTTTTTTTAAAACTGGATTAAATCATCTAGATACTTAACCACTTATTCACTCAGGCCTGTCTCATGGTGGGATCCAGAATGAAATGTTGAGTACTGCAAATTAATAACAAGATAACTAATGTACATTACTGCGACCCAACATGACCCACTAAACTGTGCGAAGGAACAGATTCTGGTTGTGTTTGTAGCAACCGGGATGTGCTGGGGATATTGTCATTGTCATAATGAGTGCTGTCAGCATTGGAAAGCTCATACTAAGATCTCCAAGATAGGATGGAGGCTGCCACCTTCTTTGGTGGGAGATCTTGTTATCTATGGTCAAGGTGAGCTCCATTCAATCACGCATGTCCCCTTCCACAAAGTCATAAAGAGTTCCATAATTTCTTTATTCGTTATTATGAAAATTCATCAATGGTCTATGGCAACATAAATGAAATGGCCAAAGCATTTGGGAATTCTGGTGGGCAGTATAGCACAATTAGAGACTTCCAGACATATAAGAAGCAACCAAATGATTAAACCAGCAACCACTCAGAATTGAAATATCAGTTTTGGTTAGAACCAGCCTTTGCTTCTACAAATTTAAGGTATGTCTCTTGCTAAGTCTATTTTTCTACAGTGTTGTGAAGGGTTAATCGGGTTTTATCATTTTCTGTTTCTAGTGGTGCACCGAAATGAAAATTCTGGTGCCGAAACCAAAAATCCAAAATGCACTTGGCCGAAAACCAAAACCAAAGCTGAAATGCGCAGTTTGTAAAATGAATGTATTTTTTGGAAAAAAAATACACTTTGATTAAAAAAAAAAAAAAAAGACAATATATACCCCAATTTTTTTTGTAAAATATGAAAGAGGATGTTACGGCGAGTAAATAGATACCCAACATGTCACGCTTTAAAATTGCGCATGCTCACAGAATGGCGTGAAACTGCAGTACTTAAAAATCTCCATGGGTGATGCTTTAAACATTTCTACAGGTTAGCAGTGTAACGTTACAGAGGAGGTCTAGTGCAAGAATTATTGCTCTTGCTCTGACGTTTGTGGTGATACCTCACGTGTGTGGTTTGAACACCATTTACATATGTGGGCATGGCCCATGTATGCGTTCACCACTATGTGCGAGCACGGCGGCGGATGGGGGCACTTTAAACTTTTTTTTTTATTTATTTAATTTTTTTTTTTTTGCACTGTCCCTTTAAACATTTTTTTATCACTTTTATTCTTATCACAAGAAATGCATTCATCCCTTGTGATAGAAATAGTTAGTGACAGGTCCTCTTTATGGAGAGAAATGGGGTCAATAAAACCCCACATCTCTCCTCTGTAATCTAAAGCATTTGATCAAAAATAAGCATTGATCTAGTGCTTTTAAAAAAAATAATTGGCCGGAACTGGAAGTGACATATGGCTCTGGTCCTCCAAGGGCATAGAGATGAGTGGAGGCCAACTTTCCTTCACTCGTCTCTATGCTCAGCGCTGGGATCCTTTGATGGTTGCTCAGGTAAGGCTGAGAACTACCGAGCGGCAACCTGTGGTGGCAGCGGCCAAGGGCGGGTTTTTTCACCTGTATAGGTGCTTTTTTTCATATTGTCGACAGCTGAAAGGGGTATTTTCGGCCGAAACATTTTGGCCACCGAAATTTCGCTGCATCCCTATCTGTTTCCCTACTGGGGAGATTATCCACTTCTGATTGGACATTGACAACAAGTCATAGAGGCATGGGAAATACAGAATCGGGCATTGCCAAAACAGGAAGTGCAGGAAAAAGTTTCAGTGGGTCACACTCCCATTTTGTAGAGATTTCTTCTCACATCCTGTTGTGTCTCCAGATCAAAAAGTAAAGGGAAATGTCTCTAATGCAACAGGATTTTAACCCTTCACGATTTAATGGCTAGGCTTTTTCTGTGAAAGCTAGTCTGTGCAATCAAGAATATTATGTATCAGCTTCAAGCACACTCAGTACATACAATTTACAAAATTAATAAATAAATACATTTCATAAACCATGTGAATACAAATGTACTTGAATAGTTTAAAAAAAATAATATAAAATAAATCAGTAGTCCATATATAAATTAAATAAAAAAAACTGCCCCACCATGTGTTCAGATAAATAACTTCATCCATGAAGTGATATAGTTTGTGACAACTTTACTAGATGACCCCCAAAGGTGTAAGTTCACGTCACATTAATGCCCCAGTTCTGGAGTAATAGAAGTTTTGAACAGGATGTGAAGTTAACAGCTGCAGATGGTTGTCTCAGATTCTGCTGTCTCCCCTTTACCAATTGTACTGCACTCAAAACTGAACACCAGTGCTGGAGTAAGTAAAGCTCAGGTCCACCATCAGGTCTAGGATCAACAGCTTTGGATGATTGCTTAAGGCTATCCTGCCCTCATACCACCAGCAAGGTTTCACTCAAAAAATATAAACAGTTGCTCATAGTGCAAACTATATGAAATGTATTCATTAAAACAAAGGATTGCACTTACATACAACCAGCAGTATCTTGCTTATCAAAATACTCAGCTGCCACTTCCCCTCAAGTCCATATGGAACAATACAATAGCCACATCTAAATAGATATTTGCAGGGGCACGCAGAAACTCAAGCTAAAAGCATCTCTCTGCTCTGTTCATGTGGCTCCGCCCTACATGTTTCGTCTTCTTGACATCATCAAGGGCACTGTGCAATATCTATCGTCGAGATCAGCAAAATATGAGACAACCATCTGCAGCTGTTATTTCCACATCTTGTGACAAGTTTAAAACTTCTCTTACTACAGTACTAGGGTATTAATGTGAGGTGCATTTATACCTTCAGGGACTGTCTGGTGAAAGTAGAATTCTGAGGGACCCTCTGCACACTGGTATATACCCTTTCAAGCAGACTATGCAATAAATAGGGATATTTAGTTCACACATATTGCAATACATGCTTAAGCTGGCCAACTGTGTCAAAGTAATCCCTCTATGGCCAGTCCTACTCTGCCTTGCCTACGCAAATGCTACTGTGGACACAATGCTAGCATAGGGGAAAAGACACAATGGGGAGAGCTACAAGGTTCAGGTCTGACTACTGACCCAACAATACAACAAACAAGAGATCCCTGTGCTCAAATCCATACAGCTAGTGCATGCATTTATCCATCCATCAGGTGCTAAAGGGGTGTAACCACATATTAACACCAGAAATTCTGAAGGACCCTCTGCACACTGGTATATATCCTTTCAAGCAGACTATGCAATAAATAGGGATATTTAGTTCACACATACTGCAATACATGCTTAAGTTGGCCAACTGCGTCAAAGTAATCCCTCTAATATCCCTATTTATACATGCATACATGTATACATTTGTGGGTTTTTTTTGGGTTTGTTTTGAGTTTGTTTTGAGTGCAGCGCTTATTTATTTATTAAAGGTAGACTTCAACCCTTGCCACCTTTTAAGGAGATGCACACAATGTGAGGCGAAGGCAGAATTCCAGATCATGTGAACACTGTGATTAGCCATCATTGGCCCTCCCTCCAACACTCAATTTATTTATTTATTTATTTCAGGTACTTATATAGCGCCGTCAACTTACGCAGCGCTTTACATATATATTGTACATTCACATCAGTCCCTAACTCTCAAGAGGCGTACAATCTCAATCATACAAGGTGACTTGGAGCTGTCAGTGAAAGCTCAGTCGTTGTGCTGGGAGTGTGCAGTGAAAATGCCTTCAGCACAGAACAGGAGTGCAACATGAACGCATTATGCATTAAGGACCACCCATCCTGCCCCTGCACATATGTGCTAGGCAGTCTGCAATAGGTTAAGGACCAGGCTGATCCTTGTGGGTTTGTATTTACTGGAATTGGGTTGATAATGACCCCATTTCTGTGGTTTTTATGACTCCTAAACACTATATACCCAGGGGCTGACTGACCATTTAGAAACTCGGGCACTGCCCGAGGGCACGGGGTCAGTAGGGGGCCCCATGAGATGCCCCTGGTACCTTTTTCATAGGCTTTTTTGAGTTTGGTCAAGGACACAGGGGCCCCATGATCCCCTATTGCCCGGGGGCCCCATGAGTTGTCAGTCCGCCTCTGTATATACCATTTTGCATTACTGAGAAGCTGACTTAAAGATACCATCTAGAGAGCAACAAGTGTGTTACTTGAACCAAAACCAGATTTTACCATTTTTTGGTTTTTCTCTTTTTCGATTTTGGCCTGTTTTTATTCAGTTTTTTTCCCTTCTTTTAAAATTAGTGTATATTAAAACTATAACTATAAACTAAAAGAAATATATATAACATTTTTTGCTTGATATGTTTTTAAACAGTTTTATATCTTTTTGTCTATGTTTGGAAAATCTTATAAAATCTTTTTAACCACATCAGCCCCAGCGATGTACCAGTGGTAAGTGGTTATACCGGGATGATGCCTGCAGCTACAGGAATCATCCCAGTATCTTTTTTTTTGCTCTTTTTTGTAAAAGTAATCATAGTGGTTAATTAGCCGTTGGATCGCTTTTACAGGCAGTGGAAGGGAGTCCCCCTTTCCCGCTGCCTTCCACCGCCTTCTCAGGCTCTTCTTTCCCAGCTGACCATAATGATGACTGTGGACGGTAACATGGAAGAGGAGCAATCTGGGATCTAATAGCAATAAAGTTGCTGAAAAAAAAATGTAAAAAGACAGTGTGAAAATAAAATTTAAAGTACTACCGATCCCCCCATGCTCACACGCAAAGAAAAATGCATGCATCAGTCCCGCATGCATACGTAAACAGTAATCGCACCACACATGTGCGGTATCACCGCGAATGTCAGATCAAGAGCAATAATTCTAGCACCAGATCTGCTGTGTAAATCTAAAGTGGTAACCTGTAAAGGCTTTTAAATCACCTCTGGATAATTCAATGTATCGTAATTTGTCTCCATTCCATGGTTGGATGCAGCTTTAATGTGTGACATGTTTGGTATCTATTTACTCAGTGTAACATCATCTTTTATATTAAAAAAAAATATTGTGTGCACTAAAATTCATTAATTTATTTTTTTTAAATTTGTATTTGAAAAACTGCTGTGCAAATACCATGTGATATAAAAAATTGTAACACCCACCATTTTATTCTTTAGGGCCTCTGCTTAAAAAATTGTATGTAATGTAATAAAGTTTTTTTCTAGCAAACAAAATGCTGATTTTTACATTATATGTGAGAAGTGTCAGAATAAGCCTTGTCTTAAAGTGGTTAAATAAATATATACATAAATAAATTCATATTTCTACAGTGTACATATACACTCACCAGCCACTTTATTAGGTACACCTGTTCAATTAATTGGTAACGCAAATAGCTAATCAGCCAATTACATGGCAGCAACTCAATGCATTTAGGCGTGAAGACGACTTGCTGAAGTTCAAACCGAGCATCAGAATGGGGAAGAAAGGGGATTGAAGTGACTTTGAATGTAGCATGGTTGTTGCTGCCAGACAGGCTGGTTTGAGTATTTCAAAAACTGCTGGTCTACTGGGATTTTCATGCACAACCATCTCTAGGGTTTACAGAGAATGGTCTGAAAAAGAGAATCTATCCAGTGAGCGGCAGTTATGTGGACGGAAATGCCTTGTTGATGTCAGAGGTCAGAGGAGAATGGGCAGACTGGTTCCAGTTGATACAAAGACAACAGTAACTCAAATAATCACTCATTACAACCAAGGTATGCAGAATACATCTCTGAACGCACAACATGCGAACCTTAAAGCAGATGGTCTACAGCAGCAGAAGACCACACCGGGTGCCACTTCTGTCAGCTATGAACAGGAAACAGAGGCTACAATTCACACAGGCTCACCAAAATTGGAGAATAGAAGATTAAAACAAACATTGCCTGGTCTGATGAGTCTCGTTTTCTCTAGAGACTGTTGTGCATGAAAATCCTATTAGATCAGCAGTTATTGAAATACACAGAGCAGTTCTTCACCCTTCATGCGAGTCAAGGTCTTTAAATCCCCCCCCTTCAGCGAGTCAGATGCCTAAATGCATTGAGCTGCTGCCATGTGATGGACAGGTGTACCTAATAAAGTGGCCGGTGAGTGTATAAACACATAAATATTTATTGAAGGATGTATTAATGACAGAAGAAGATGCTGTTTGCTTTCAAATGCTCTCTTTTTAATTGTCAGTCTGTATGGTCCTCTCTGATAAAAACAGCCGAGGGGGGTCACTACCCTGATCCATTAATTTGTGTGTATAAAAATATGACCTTGAGCAATTGAGATGTGTACACAGCAGCTGTTTTCCAGTAATAAAAGCCTGGACAGAGGGGGATTCAAGAGCTGGCATCCCCCCAAATCATTTGGCAGGTCTATTGTAATCTATAGGTTGGTGCCACTAACAGCCAATGATTATGGGATCGGATTTTTAAAGGGAAAGTTAAATGTAAACAATCACAATTGTTGGTACTTTTTTCCCTTCATATAGTTTAAAAAACACATGCCCCAAAAATACATAAAATTAATATGGGTAAAGGGTCGCATGATGGAGTAATTGTCAGTGAAACTATCACAGTACTGATTAGGCTACAGGCTGGTATTGGTGGTTAAAGTTTCACACAGGATCACTGCACAGATCTGGAAGAAATATACAAAGCATACAAGGAAGAATACACACCTTAACACATTCCGCCATTGCAAAACCCTCAACCCTGTGATTCCTACAGCAACCCTGCCATTAGTTCTTTATAATTTGTGGATAACAGCCCCTTAAACACTAAGAAAGCCCTAGAAAACAAAACTGGAGTACCCTGAACTTTGACTATGATTGTCTTCACATTCATAGGGTAAGAGCTCCCCCATGTGGTAAAAGTGAACTTTGCACTTTTATCAATCCTTTGCTGGTTTCCAGTTAAAAAAATATATATATTTTTTTTTGTCTCTATAAATTCACTTTTCTCACCTGGGATGTAACAGTTCACTGTATTCAGTAACAAACTGAAGATAAAGCCATTTCATTTGCTACTTATACACTCACCAGCCACTTTATTAGGTCCACCTTGGCTAGTACGGGGTTGAGCTCCCTTTTGCCTCCAGAACTGCCTTCATTCTTCGTGGCATAGATTCTACAAGGTGATGGAAACATTCCTCAGAGATTTTGGTCCATATTGATATGATAGCATCACACAGTTGCTGCAGATTTATTAATTGCACATCCACGATCTGAATCTCCAGTTCCACCGCATCCCAATGGTGCTCTATTGGATTGAGATCTGGTGACTGTGGAGGCCATTGGAGTCCAGTGACCTCATTGTCATGTTTAGGAAACCTTTGGAGATGATTTGAGCTTTGTGACACGGTGCATCATCCTGCTGGAAGGAGCCATCAGAAGATGGGGACACTGGAGTCATAAAGGGTCATGGTCAGCAACAATATTCAGGAAGGCCATGGTGTTTAAACGAAGGTCAGTTGATACTAAGGGGCCCAAAATGTGCCATGAAAATCTCCCCCACACCATGACACCACCAGCCTGAACCGTTGCTACAAGGCAGGATGGATCCATGCTTTCATGTTGTGTCTCTACCATCTGAATGTTGCAGCTGTAATCCAGATTCATCAGACCAGGCAATGTTTTTCCAATCTTCTATTGTCCAATTGTGGTGAGCCTGTGCAAATTGTAGCCTCCGTTTCCTGTTCTTAGTTGACAGGAGTGGCACCTGGTGGGATCATCTGCTGCTGTAGCCCATCTGCTTCAAGGTTTGACGTGTTGTGCATTCAGAAATGATATTCTGCATACTTTGGTTGTAACGAGTGGTTATTTGAGTTACTGTTGCATTTCTATCATGTGGAACCAGTCTGCCCATTCTCCTCTGACCTCTGACATCAACAAAGCATTTCTGTCCACACAACTGCTGCTCAGTGGATATTTTCTCTTTTTTGGACCGTTCTCCTTAACCACTTGCCGCCCAGCCACCGCATATAAACGGCGGCAGGGCGGCACTCGTAGGCAAAAGCACGTTTTAAAACGGCTGCCTTCAAAACAGGTAGGAGGCGCGCGCGCCCGCTCTACCTGTCCCTTGGGTGTCAGCAGCGGGTGTCAGCCGCCGGGTCACGGCCGGTTTTTACCGGCCGTTTTCCCGCAATTGCCGGTGAGCGCTGACACAGAGCAGGGCTGCATTGTTTACACACAGCCCTGTTCTGTGTCAGTTCTCTGACAGCTTGTGAGAAGCTGCAGAGTTTCTCTCCCTCATCAGCTCCCCCCTCCCTCCCCCCGTCCAGTACACACCCCGCCCCCCTAGTAAAACACTCCCCTTACACAGCAAATGCTAAAAAATGTTAACCCCTTCCTCCCCAGTGACATTAGTACAGTTTCAGTGGTTTTTTTTCACTGATCACTGTATTGGTGTCACTGGGGATGTCAGTGACCCCAAGTCAGTTCCCCCCCCCCCCCAGTGTCAAAATGTCCACTGCAGTCCCGCAGTCCTGCCATAAGTCGCTGGTCGCTGCCATATGTTGCTGATCGGCGCCATTATTAGTATAAATAAAAATTAAAAATTCCAGTATCTTTCCTGCCATTTGTAAACGCTATAACTTTCACGTAAACCAATTAATTTACACGTATTGGGATTTTTTTTTAGCAAAGACATGACGCAGAATGCATTTTGGCAGAAATTTATGACTAAATTTGATTTTTGCATTTTTTTTTACTGGACATGTTTTATAGCAAAAAGTACAATATACTGTTTTTTTTTCCTCAAAATTGTCAGCCTTTTTTTTTTATAGCGCAAAAAATAAAAACTGCACAGGCGATCAAATACCACCGAAAGAAAGCTCAATTCGTGGGGAAAAAAAGGATGTAAATTTAATTTATGTACCGTATTGCATGACCTCGCAATTGTCCGTTAAACTCGGTCATCAGCGTATAGAGGTATCAAGACCACACAGACGGCCAACTTTCCTGCAGGAGAGCGCTGCAACATCTCATGCGATATTTGACCTACCATTCCAGGTGGTCAGTTATCTGTGGGGAGTGGGGCTCTGGAGGGGGAGCACTAATTGGAGCACTGCGCACAGAGAATTGCTATGGATAACAAGATTTACTACTGTATCACTTAATATTCACACCGGATGCGGATGGGGGTTTCTTTGGGATTTTTTTGGAACTTTCATTTGTTTTGGAAATTTTATATGGGCACAATTATTGGGACAGTTATTGGGACATATATATATATATATATATACTGTATATATTGTTTTATACAATTTCACTGTATACACAGTTTTACAGTATTGGTTTATTTAGGATTTAGTCACTGGGGAGGAGGGATATAATTGCCAGCCCACGGGACATTATAGCACGTGCACCTTTGTGGGGACTCTTTGTGTAGTAGGGGTGTTCATTTATTTATTTATTAACTATTTTAAGTCGTTTTTGGGAGAGGCAGCGCAGCAATTTTTTATGTTTGCATCTTGGCAAATCTGTCACCTGTCCCACTATAAGTTTCTGATCACCACCATTACCAGTCTAGTGTCTATAGCTGCATATATTCCAGTATATATCCCCATAATTTTTAGATGCTATACCTTTCACATAAACCAACCAATATACACTTATTGGAATTTTTTTCCCAAAGACATGTAGCGGAATACATTTTGGCCTAAATTTATGAAGACATTTTATTTTTTTAAATTTCTTTATTGGATATGTCTTATAGCAGAAAGTAGAAAATATAGTTTTTTTTCAAAATTTTCAGTAAATAGAGCCCACCTGTGTGTAATTTAATCTCACTACAAATACAGATGTTCTGTGAAGCCCCCAGAGGTTTGTTAGAGGACATTAGTGAACAAACAGCATCATCAAGGCCAAAGAATACACCTGACAGGTCAGGGATAAAGTCGTGGAGATGTTTAAAGCCAGGTTAGGTTATATTATTATTATTATTAATATACAGTAATAGTTCGCTCAGCACTGTACATTACAAAGGGGGACAGAACATGTGACAGAACAATACCAATACAATGCAAAACATGAGGGGATCAAGGGCCCTGCTCTTTCGAGCTTACAATCTAGGAGGGAGGGGATAGTGGCAGAGGGAGGAGATAGCTGTGGGGGATGGAGTGGTAGAAAGAGTGGAGGAGGTCGGCAAGTTAGCAGGGGGCGGGGGTAGGCTTCACTGAAGAGATGGGTTTTCAGGGTGCGCCTAAAGGAGAGGAGAGTAGGTGATAATCTGATGGGTTGGGGCAGGGAGTTCCAGAGGATGGGTGACACCCTGGAGAAGTCCTGGAGGCGGGCATGGGAGGAGGAGACCAGGGAACTAGAGAGAAGGAGGTCTTGTGAGGAGCGGAGTGTGCGTGCTGGGCGGTACTTGGATATTAGGTCAGTGATGTAGTTCGGGGCAGTATGGTGGACAGCTTTGTACGTTAGCGTTAGGATTTTGAATTTGATCCGTTGCGCAATCGGAAGCCAGTGGAGGGATTGGCAGAGGGGGGTGGCGGATACAGAGCGGTTGGAAAGGTGAATGAGTCTGGCAGCCGTATTCAGGATCGACTGAAGCGGGGATAGCCAGTGGCGAGGCTGGCCAGTGAGGAGCGAGTTGCAGTAGCCGAGTCGTGATATGATGAGGGAGTGGATGAGCTGTTTAGTGGTTTCTGGGGTTAGGAACGTGCGGATTTTGGCGATGTTGCGGAGGTGGAGTCTGCACGAGTTTGTTAAAGATTGGACTTGGGGTTGAAAGGATAGGTTGGAGTCCAGAATGACACCAAGTACTCGGGCCAGCAGGGCGGGTTTGATGGTAGCGTTGTTGGATGTGACGGAGAAGTCAATGGGGGCTGGGGGGGGAAGACAAGAAACTCGGTTTTGGAGAGGTTCAATTTAAGGAAGTGGAGTGACATCCAGTCTGATATGTCGCTCAGTAGGTGTGTGATACGGGCTGAGACCAAGGGGGTGAGGTGGGGGGTTGAGAGATAGATTTGTGTGTCGTCGGCATAGAGGTGGTAGTTGAAGCCGTGAGAGTGTATGAGTTGGCCAAGGGAGGAGGTATAGATGGAGAAGAGAAGGGGCCCAAGGACAGAGCCTTGAGGGACCCCAACAGAGAGGGGGAGTGAGGGGGAGGTGGTAGCATTATAGGTAACGCTGAAGGAGCGTTGTGACAGGTAGGATGAGAGCCAGGAGAGAGCAGAATCTCTGAGGCCGAGGGAGTGTAGTTTTTTGAGGAGGAGGGGGTGGTCGACTGTGTCAAAGGCCGCAGAGAGGTGAAGGAGTAGGAGCACTGAATAGTGGCCATAAGCTTTGGCGGTTAGAAGGTCGTTGGAGAGTTTGAGTAAGGCAGTTTCGGTGGAGTGTAGGGACGGAAGCCGGACTGTAGGGGATCGAGGAGGTTGTTGTCGTTGAGGTGAGAGCATAGGCGGGTGTAGACTAGGTGCTCAAGGAGTTTAGATGTAAATGGGAGCAGGGAGATGGGTCTGAGGTTGTTCGGGTCATTAGGGTCCAGGGAGGGCTTTTTAAGTATGGGGGTGATGTGTGCATGTTTCAGAGGGGAGGGGAAAGTGCCGGAGGAGAGGGAGAGATTGAAGATGTGGGTGAGGGAGCGTAGGATGGAGGGGGGGGGAAGGAGGTCGTAGGAGTTGTGAGGGGATAGGGTCGAGGGGGCAGGTGGTGATGCGGGCATCAGAGAGGATCTTGGAGACTTCCTCGATGGTAGTAAGGTCAAAGGTGCGGAGTGTTGGGGGAGCTTCAGTATGAGGAATGTAGGGTGGGGTGGAAGAGGAGGTCAGAGCAGTGGTGGGGCCGTGGGAGAGGGGTGATGAGGGGGTAGCTGAGTGAGGGTGAAGGGGGTTGGAGAGAGTTTGAGCAGCGACAAAGTCCCTGCGAGTTATGTCGAGGGGAAGGGGGGATAAGGGGGTAGCTGTGTGAGAGGGGACGGGTTGAGAGGGCGAGTGAGTTGTGGCAATGTCCTTGCGAATTGTGTCAATCTTGTTATAATAAAATATCCCAAGCTTTGAACATTTCAAAGAGCACTGTTCAATCCATCATCCGAAAATGGAAAGAGTATGGCCTACCAAGACATGGCCGTCCACCTAAACTGACAGGCTGGGCAAGGAGAGCATTAATCAGAGAAGCAGCCAAGAGGCCCATGGTCACTCTGGAGAAGCTGCAGAGATCAACAGCTCAGGTGGGAGAATCTGTCCACAGGACAACTATTAGTCGTGCATGCCACAAATCTGGCCTTTATGGAAGAGTGGCAAGAAGAAAGCCATTGCTGGAAGAAAGCCATAAGAAGTCTCGTTTTCAGTTTTCGAGAAGCCATGTGGGGGACACAGCAAACGTAGAAGAAGGTGTGTTTTGGACAGATGAGACCAAAACTGAACTTTTTGGCCTAAAAACAAAATGCTATGTGTGGCAGAAAACTAAAACTGCACATCACCCTGAACACACCATCCCCATCGAGAAACATGGTGGTGGCAGCATCATGTTGTGGGGATGCTTTTCTTCAGCAGGGACAGGGAAGCTGGTCAGAGTTGATGGGAAGATGGATGGAGCCAAATACAGGGCAATCTTAGAAGAAAACCTGTTAGAGTCTGCAAAAGACTGAGACTGGGGCGGAGGTTCACCTTCCAGCAGGACAACAACCCGAAACATCCAGCCAGAGCTACAATGGAATGGTTTATATCAAAGCATATTCATGTGTTAGAATGGCCCAGTCACAGTCCAGACCTAAATCCAATGGAGAATCTGTGGCAAGACTTGAAAATGGCTGTTCACAGACACTCTCCATCCAATCTGACAGAGCTTGAGCTATTTTACAACGAAGAATGGGCAGAAATGTCCCTCTCTAGATGTGCAAAGCTGGGAGAGACATCCCCAAAAAGACTTGCAGCTGGATTTGCAGTGAAAGGTGGTCCTACAAAGTATTGACTCCGGGGGGCTGAATACAAATGCACACCACACTTTTCACAGATTTATTTGTAAAACATTTTGAAAACTATTTATCATTTTTGTTTCACTTCACAATTAGGTGCCACTTTGTGTTGCTCTATCACAGAAAATCCCAACAAAATGCATTTACATTTTTGGTTGTAACATCACAAAATGCGGAAAATTGCAAGGGGTATGAATACTTTTTAAGTGGTTCTGTATATAACATTACTATCTGTACACTGACTGCTAATCCCTATATATAACACTGATATCTGTACACTGACTGCTAATCCCTATATATAACACTGATATCTGTACACTGACTGCT